TATTAGCATCGAAGGACCTAGTTAGGCTATTTCTAAAAATATCTATCGGGATTTATGTAGTCCCTGCCCACATGGAAATGTATGTACATACACAATACACATTCAATACTTGTTTACTGTGCTACTAAACAGCTTCTATAAGAGCCCGATATATTATTAAAGTTGATGCGATTCAAGCCGGAATAAAAGGCGTACTCAAATAAGCAGCAATTAAAATCGTCATATGATAAAAAGTGCTATTGGAAACTAAACGCCGATTTTCCAAGCAATTTTAGCGGCAATTAGTTGAATCAAAAGCTGCCTGCACCCCAACTTCATTGCAAGCAATTATGTATTTGAAAGGCCGTTCACACCAGGTGATATTTGATTTCAAATAAAAGTTGCCTGTAAAATCTCCTCATGTAAACACCGTATAACGAAAACTGAAATATATTCAGCTTATTTGGTAATTTAATCGAATTGCGATGGGATTTTGCTTGCTTATTTGTAAACACATACACATTAGGGATGCCAATCCCGGGATCCCGGTGTTTTTTACGTCCCGGAAATCCCGGGATTTGCTTGCATTAATCCCGGGCTCCGGAAAATTTTGAAATATCGAATTGATAGTAAGAATGTGTTTATGAATTTTGAAGTATGATTTTTGTAAAATGCCGTTTTGACTGCAATTAACAAAAAGCTTGAAACTTTACTTTTAAATTGCAGTCTGAGCCGTTTTGGAAGAAGATTTCAATGAATTTACTCATAGCGTCGCTAATGTAAACGAAACGGAGAGTTTTAAGGAAAAGTTAGATAAAAGTTAGATTTTTACCTCCCTTTTATTAGCTCGGGATGTAACTATGTAATATTGATGCGCCTAAAAGATGCAGCGATTTCTATTCTCAAGTTACATACCTGACACAGTACGAATTGAAATTATAACAGCGAGGTTTTAGTTTTTTAAACTATAGTTTTATTTATATTAATCTACTCAAAACTTCTTCAAATCGAAAAACTTATAATTTGAACGACGTGCTGGTAAAAGAAGTTCAAATATTTTGTAATGGAGATAAAGGTCATTATGGATAATGTCTACCTTTTGACAATTCAACCTAAAAGTGTTAATGCTGAAATATGTTTTTCATAAGTAGGTTTTGTATGTAAAACGTGCAGGTAAAGCTTGGAAGACTCCGCTTTGAATGCTTTGCTGCTCTTACGAAAACATTTTAAGTGCAATAATAACAACACCGACAAAAAAAGGGGTGTGTGTTTTTAACCAGCTCAACTACCAACATGTATTTCGACCCGCTGAATCCGATTCTGAGATCCGTTTGACTCGTACTCCCTAAAAATGTCTAGTAAATTGCGAGAAAAAAATGGAAAAAAATTCTTCATTCGCCATTTCTTTATAGAGTAGAATAAACATGTTTAGATAAATTGTTTTTGTATATTTTTGTTTTAAGTTTTTTTTTTATTAATCGTCACTTTCAAAAGTACCTGGTATTTACATAATTATTTGTGATGTATACGTTCCTCAATCACATGGTTTTTTAAATACCATTAAAAAATCTTTTACTTTAATATTTGTCTGATTTAATGAATATCGCTAGCGTAGAGTTCAAAGTTGCTAAGTCCCAATTTAAAAATTTTGCAGGAGAGGAAAAAACTTGGTATATCCCGAAATCCCGGGATCCCAATTTTCCTGATATTTTGGCATCCCTAATACACATGTATGTACAGTGACGAACAAAAGTATTGGCACAGTGAATTTTTCGCTGTATATGCAAAGTTTTTTATTCTAATTTATTTTCGATGTTTTATAAAAATATGGTTCATTTTACACTAAAAAATATAAAAATAAAATCTCTAAACTGTGTGCAAAACTCAGGAAAATTCATAAAATTTGCACACTAATTTGCAACTTTTTATTCAGATTTTTTAGAAAAATTCTAGGTATGCAGTTTTATAGTCCTTTCAATTTTGGTATGACAAAATGCAAGTTAAAGTTGCTAGAAGAAAATCGTGTTGATATTTGGCAATATTTTTTGTTTTTTTTTCTCCATACAAAAAATTTGAATAAAAGATTATCGAAAATAAATTAGAATAAAAAACTTTGCATATATTGCGAAAAATTCACTGTGCCAATACATCTGTTCGGCACTGTATGTATGTATGTTTGTGTGTTTGCAAACAATTACAAATTGAAATTTTTGCAAATGTTATGAACAATTCTGTACATGCATATGCATGTATCAAAATACATATGTATATTTGCTCTTCGCTGATAAGAAAACAGTAAAAAAAACCCAGTGGTGAAAATGGGGGAATACAATAGCTGTCTGTTGACGTACGAGTTCGTAACAATTGTTAATAACCTATTGCAAGTCTCCTGAAGAGAAACACGAGTTCCTCGTTTGAAAAATGTTGTATTTCCAAAATTCTACAACATTTGTACGAAAGTGTTTTTTCATTCATATGAAATACATGAAAAACTTTGAGCGCATTGAGACATATAAATATTTTTTTATTTAAAAATAAAAAATGTGTTTATTTTTTTGGTATAGAACATTCCAAAATTCCGACTTTACTTGTGTTTTACCGTCCTAATTTATATGCAAGTACCCATCGCTCATTTACTTCAATAGTGTCACAGCTCAAAAAAGGAAAGCTCGAGAAAAACGGCTTTAAAATTTTTAGTTTACATAGGAGCCATTCTTTTTTAAGTCGGACGGATATCGTAAAAAAATTATATTATGTTTCTGATTCTCTTCAATTTTTTTTTGGGTTCTATACATGAAATAAGCTAACGCGTATTTGAGGACATTTTTTTCTTCGCAGATATGATCTGTCAAAGTTGGGATTTTTTCGTGATTCTGATTAATCATGTAATTCATCAAATTGTTACATCTCGGTTTCTGATCATCGTATATACGTCATTTCAAAGCTAATTTAGCTATCCTTTATAAAAAACATGGTTAAATAATTGGCGTGTTTAAGGAACTATTTAAAAAAAAAAATTTTTTATGACGGGATGGTCTATTTTGTGAAGGTCAACCATTTTTTGTAATTTATTTTGTAAAACTTGTGATGAGATATTTTTAGCAAGATGTTAAAAATCGGATCATTGAATTTTATTGCAGAATACATAACTAATATTTGAACGACAAGATTTTTCTTTAAGGCGACAAACCCCTAGAAACCAGGATTTTTTGAGGCA